TAATAGATCTGTATAAATCTTGCCGTAAAACAATCGACAAAACGTTTCGTTATAGTCGTTGCAATCGTGGAAATTGATACTTGACAGAGGCACGTCAATTTCTCGCAATTTATGACAAAACTGGAGCACCAGGCTGAAATGAAGAAGAAGTCGTTAGTACTTGCGAATAACAAATTAATTCAGCTTTGCCGGTTAATAGATTCAGAGGGAATTCAATAACGTAACGTTCGTATCGTACGCGCGCATGCGAAGCTCGTAAAATGTGAATTCATCAAGTCGGGAAAAAGTTATGTCTAACAGTGTCGTTGTTGCCGTATAGAAATTTTATTTAATTGTCGAATCGACGTGAAACCGGGATTTCCACGATATCTACGAGTTGCCGTACGAAAGGTATTAGAAGCTGATTATAACTCTCGCTCATGTTAAAGCTCAATAAGCCATGATGGTGAATTATCGTCTTTGTAGAACTGGAGCGTAAGCTCAGTCGAGTGCGGTATATTTCTGTGCATTACACCACCGCTAGGGGTGCTAGCGAACTTCAAAGAAGCGTGTTTTATAATCGAGCCATCGTACCGTGTAACTGCAACGCCTCATTTGCCAAGGCTATAAAAATTGTTCTTATGTTCTGCTGCTTAGGAGGATAGTAACTTCTTTAAGGTAATCTTAACGTACGATCGATCGATGACATTCTCGCGACAGGGGCGGCCCATATGTAGCCCAAAAGTTCTAAAAAAGTTCTCAGAGAAGACTCGAAAATCTTTGATGCAAAGATTTTCTTCATAGTACTTGCTGGAACAGACTCCATTCGCAATGATATCAATATTTGTGAAACTAGAACGAAATTAAAGCAATTGAATAACTTTTAATGTACGAATGAATAATTTATTCGTTCTGGTGGTATTTCGAACTTTACGATTAAAATGCTCCTTTTCAATGAACTCACGTTTTCAAACGAACACGATTTCAACACGTTATATAGTTATAAATGTTAATTATTTTAAACAGAGATAATAGAAGCTATACACATATGTGTGTAATAAAGTGCCTTATTTAGAAAATCATGGAAAGTAAATGAACGAAGTATATCAAGTAACGCATAAAAAGCAATATTATATTAATTCTCGTTTAATGAAATCATCATTTCTCGTATTGTATTTTAAGCGAAATGTAACACGCGAATTCATTGAAAAGATTAAATTTCATCAATTTAAATTGAAATATCATATTTAATATACCTGTGACAAATGAATTGGAAATCATGTACGTTAGCTTTAAAAAAGAAAGAAGAAAAGAACGAAAACTTATAACTGAATTTTTATCAATAATAAATTATTGATGATAATAAAAAAAGCTTGGAATTTGAAAAAGCTCCAGATAGAAAGACACGGAATAACTTCCTCTAACGATTGAAAACGTGTGTTCACACGAAAATGTATCCAGAACAGCCCTTCGACAAGCAAGGTTTTTACCACATGTATCATTTACGGAATGTACAACCACTGCACTGTCGACAACGTGTCGTTTTGAACAGAACAGAAGCTACACGTAGTCGTCGCGTGGTTTTTCCACTACGGTAAAAATCCGCTTGTTTGAAAGGGGGCCTAAAATCTACCTCCCAGCAGGAATCTACCATACATGTTCAACTGAACAACAGACCTATTTCCGGCATTCAGGTCACGCTCTCCATTGGTTTCAAAGCAAAAATGTTTTTTCAATCTTTACGGCGGCGTACACATCGGTTGGCGTATCGCGCGTCGCAAACACATTTACTGGCAAATAACGGTGTTACACGAAAAAAAAAAAAAAGAAAAATACAAGACGGCGGGAACGACATGTCGGAACAATATACCACGTAGGAGGGAGATTTATTTACAGGCGAATCTTAACTCCATGAATATTTATTGACAACTTTAAGTTCCATTTCGTTTGCACTCGTATTTGCTTTTCCATGGGTATTTCGGGGAGAAAGAAATATCACGAAGTGTAGAGGAATAAACCGTCTGGCTGTTGAAATCAACTCTGGTAGTTGGAGAATATTCAATATTAATTGACTCACGCGCAACGTTAATTCTACTTTGCGTGCCAGGTGTAAATTAATAAATACACCTTGAAACTTGTTACGCAAATATCAACGAATTGAATGGCAGCCTTCTTATCTGTGAATACCTATCCTTGAGGGATTTCAAGATTGAAGCGCAGCTGAATAATTGATGAAATTTGAATACGAATTTAATGTCGGAATTGCTACTAGAGTACGGTCATTCGTATAGTGAGTGGCAGACCATTGAAAATCAGTCACGTTATTCAGTATTACTAGTTTATTGCGATGTAGTTTAATTATACGTGTATATACGCATAATACACAATGAAGACACTGCTCCGTGCATTGAAATCTTTGAAAGAGCATAGTATACGAACAGAAAGAGTAACGCACATTCTAAAATAATGAGATTTAAGTCGTTTCATCATTAATCACCAATAATCGTTTATTCGTATTTTATTTATTTATAATATTCGTACGAATTAAATTTACTGATTCAATTGTTTTATTTTAACGAAGCAGAAATTTTTAATATTTGAATACTAATGATTGGCTCACTATCAACAGCCGAAATCCTTTGTCGGCGAACAATCGATTTCTCGATGCAGACGTTCCTAAGCCGATTTTACAGGTTTAAATCCCTTTAATTGAAAGTCTCATTAGTAATTGAAAACATTGATTGAGAATTTCGTTGATGTGTTGGTTGCGTGTTATTGATCGGTATGGAGATGACTGAGTAAAATTTTAGATGGGTTTTAATGCGTATACTACTTGTTGATAAATAATAGTTAAATAGCGTCTAATTGATTTTAAAGATTTTTTTTTTTAATTTCCAATGTATAAAATAATTTAATTTAAATTTAAACAGTTATAAATGTGCACAGTTAAGCAAGTTTGTTTGTTTCCCACTTTTTGCGTTTCTAATGAGATATAATAGATAATAATGCTTCACTTCCTGCCGTGCGTTTCACTCTTATTAGACGAGATTAATATCAAAGTTTTCGTCGCCGCGTTAGAGTCAATGAAAAGTAGCTGGATTTCCAGAAGTTAAGCGTATATTAATAGCCATTTTCTGTCTAACAAGTTTCACGTAACGAACATTCAGATGCTTCCATACTGCTGGGAATCGTAAAGAGTTGCCGTCGCTTATAGCTCATAGCTCCGAAACACAATCGCTTTATTTCGGCTTGACTAAATTTGCCGCTTCCAACTCACTCGTTTGCCAGACAGTTATGTTTACGCACGGCGAAACTTACGAAACTTAACTAAATTAACTAGTTAACGAGTAAATTATGCACACGACATTTAACTGCCAACTCCCACGGAAGGCAGACTTATAGTTTTCCATAGTAAACTACGAAATAGTCTGCGAAACATCTCTCAAGTTCAAATATAGAGCACTATTACCTCGGTTTAATGAAGTAACCACAGACGCGGTTGCCTTAGAACGCGTTTTAAGTATAGCGTTTTGTATCGCAATCAAAATACGATAACGATTGAAGAAGAGCGAGGAAATAATGACAGTTGCGTGACAGTTTTATAGAACGCAATGAAATGCCGTCGGAGAGCGAAGAAAAATTTGTACGCTATTTATTTCTCTTTTACGTGAAATATCTACGCGCAATATTGCAGTCCGTGCAGCGTACGATTTATATTGTTATCCTAAATATTGGAAAGCACACATACGAGAACGAGTACTTGAATGCGACGACGATAGATTGGAAACTGTGTTTCCGGAAAATTGGTTGGTCCATTTTGCCCGATGTGAGAGAACAGCTGACAAAAGAGCAAATGTAACAGAATAAATAAATAAGACACCATGTTGACGAGGTATAGCAAATAAATGGCTGGTAACCCATTGACCTAGATAGGGTCGATGATATTGATTAGTTACTGCATGTTTGTCTCGCAGCGGTCAAACACAGCATCCTCTCTGTACTCTACATTTGCTTTTAACACATACGATGCTTGTCGTCTCCCGTGCTTCCATTTCTTTAATAATCTGTCCCTCTTTGTTTCGACTTTGAACCCACGCGTATTGGTTTTCTTCCTGTGGAGACATCTTTGGAATATCTTCTTTCGGAATATCCACATCCTTTTTCGTATAACCGGCCAACGGAATTGAATTTATGACTTTATTTTCCTCGCTCGTGGACAATATCTACCGCAGATTACTCGGCGTGGAGCGCGATTCTCGGTATCATAGCGAGATAACGGAGCCCTTGTGTTTCCTTTCATGTCATTCACGTGAAAACAAGAACAAGGGGAACTTTAATCGAAGTTCTGTTACGCTTCAAGGTTGGTGAAACAAATTTTTTAGACGGACTACAAGATTATAATTTCACAACTGTGCGTTTTACGAAGGCAACGACGATTTTTCTTTTTTGTACAACAAATTTATAGAAAGTTTTAAATGCCATGTTTACAAGTTTAAAGTTCATTTCGAAAGTAATTAATTAAATGTTTTACGATGGAAAGAACTCCTCGCTAATATTGCAAGAAAAGAAAGTACAGGAGTAATCCTTGAATTTGCGTTTGTAGTTCTAAAATGTAAGATAGGCTATTTTAATTAATATTAGATATAATATTCAGTTAAAAGCTCTTAAAAAATTTTCTTTTTACGAATGAGTTTAAATTAGAAGTAATCAATCTTTAGTAAACATCGATCTTTCATTTAGATGGTTATACATTTCATTTCATTGTTACATACTTTCAATTTTTTTCTCCATCTGAAGACATTTATAGAATTTATAATAGTGAAGTTGTAACCTCGTAAATAGTAAAATTATATTTTACTATTTAATTAAATATTTTCAAATAATATTACGGATAATAAAAAATATTTGTACATTTATATTAAATAAGTTATTATTATAAAAAAACTGGTATAATTCATTTCTAGTTTGACAGCATGCACTCTACCGGTCAATTTCGTAAAAGCGCGATATTTTCCCGCGCTTTCTGCGTCACCTGTTGCGTTTGACGTTCTTGTCACTTATTTTCGTGTTTAGTAGTGAATATTTTAACTGATAGTGTTAAATGATTGTTATTATATCAATTTAAATTTTTGCTGCAAACGTAAGTGTTATTAATGAATTGTTAATATTGTGTTTTAAAATACTTTCATTCATTAAGCAAAGTTAACCTCAAACATCAAGCGTGCTGGTTACTACATCTTGTATGTACATATATAAATTATGATTTTATTGTAATTAATAAAGATTGAATTGTAGTATTGTTTTACTGTTTTAATTAAAATAGTATTTACATTTATAATATTAATGTAGCAAAGGTATAATAAAGATTGTAAAATACTGATTTATAAGATACTTACATTTATTGTAATTATGAAATTGTAATAATTTGACAACAATTTAATAAAGTCATGTTAATAGTTCTATTGTATTGTTTATGCAGGTGATCCATAGATTAAATTTAAAAATGATGTTGAGAATTCAGTAGATATATACTTCAATCATTATGTCAGATTATCTTTCTACTGAACTTGCAGCTACGTGTGCTGCACTTGGTTATTATGATGGATCTAAGTATCATTTGGATAAGCACTGTTTAGGTAATAGCAATTGTTATTTGTACGTTATGTATATTATATTGAACAATCTTGAATTATTCAATATTTATTCAATTTCTTAATAGATGTTATAAAAGATCTTATCAAATATTTAAGAAGAGACAGTGAGTCTCATGTCGTACGTCAGTTTCTTGGTCAAACAAAAGTACTTCAAACTGATCTCATAAAAATTTTTATTGAGCATTATGATAAACTTGAACTTTGGGATGTATTGCTGAGGCAAGTAATAAATTAGTATGTATTTCATAATGGCTGACATATTATAATGATATCAGTTTTATGTTCAATTAGGTTAATTATTAATATAACAAGTCCAGTATTACTGCTTTTTAATGAGCAAGTTCCTACTGAAAAGATGCAACATACTATATATCTAAAACTAATTTCATATACACAATCATATAAAGTAGCTTTAATTGATGGACGTATATGGACAATACTTAGTAATCGTTTAAGTGAAATTCTTAAACTAGTAAGTATCAAGTTTGTAGTTTGTGTTTGTACATATATGTAGAGGATATTTAAAGGATCAATTCCTTTTTGTTTTTGTAGGATAATATAGAAAGAGGTGAAGAAAAAGAAATGATTGTTGAAAGAATTCTTATTTTTATTAGAAATGTCTTACAAATTCCTCCAGATGAAAATGAAAAACGTGTTGATAATGATGCTACAGTTCATGATGAGGTACAATATTAAAAGTAAAATATTACAAGTAGTGTAATATTATATGTATAATATATTTTTTATATTCTTTGTTCATTAGGTTTTGTATGCACTCAATACATCAGGGATTGTTGATTTGTTAGTATTTATTGCTAGTAACAGAAGTGAACAGCAATATCATTTGCAAGTTTTAGAGGTATGTGTTAGATAATTTTGAGTTTATTTTTATTTACTTAGTATTTGTTTATCTTTTTTTTTATATTTATTTGTTTAGTTTTGTTTTTTTCAAAAATAATTTATTTTTTTATAATGATGTTGTATTTTCTGTACGTTACGTTGTTAGATTATATCGTTAATGCTTCGTGATCAAAATGCAAGTCAGTTAGCAAAATCTGGCTTACAACGTAGTATTACCGAAAGAGAAAAAGATGAAGCAACGCTTTTAGCTGCGCGACTCAAAGAAAAAGAGAAAAAGATGGAGAAAGTAAGAAAGTATGCAGGAGCTAGGTAAGGTTTAATACAGCATTTTCATTTGTCCTTTTTTTAAAAATATAGTTTACTCTTTATGGAGATAGATTTATATAGTAGAATAATTTAGTAATTAATTAAAAACAGTCATCGCATTGTCATCGAGCGACAAGTGATTTTAATGTGTGATAAATAAATGGTCAATGATGATGACGTGAGAAACTAGAGGAAATGTAATTTATTTCTATAGTGATATATATATACTATATATGTAATAAATGTGACCTAGTTTTTAAACCACTATCTGAATAGATGCTTTTATCCACTTGTTGGAAAGTGCACGTGTTTTATTCTTGTGTCGTGCATTATTCACATCTTTTTGCTACGTGCCTCTATTTTCCGTAGAAAGCTTTTTGCAACTTGGAAAGGAATCAAAGGCGGTAAAAAGATCGATCTTTTCTCTCGTACTTTGTGAATCGATGGACAACGCTGTTACCATAAAATGGTACCGTCAAAAACATGATTTGACATTCAATATTTCAAAAGTAAGAACTGAAAAATAGCATAGTTGACAAGCGTTGATTTAAAAAGTTTTTAACAAAAATTGAGTTTATACTGATTTATAGATTTATTTGTAAAATGAATCTTGTAGATTTATTTGTAAAATTAGTAGTAGTCCAATTTGAATTATATTTTACGTTTATAATGAATCGATTACGTAAGAGCACCTAGTGCAAGCAAGAAATTGAAGACGAATTGAAGACAGCAAATAAATAAATAAATACGAGAGAGAAAATGCACGTTTCTCGTTTAGCAAACTACCTGCTAGTGACAGCCGCCTTCCATAGTATTGATTAGATTTTCAGAAGTCGTATATGAAATTGAATTTGAGTGAGGAGTTTTTTTTTTTTTTTTTTTACTAACATAGATATTGTCCATAGATATTTGTTGATTCATATAGGCACTGATTCAACAAAATTTTATTATTTTATCTTGTTATTCCGATGATGATAAATTTGATAATTTCGATGTCGATAATTTGAATCTGTAACTCTAACATTTTCTAAAATTGTTGTTCGTTTAAAATCTCTTTCAGTGTAAAATGTTTCGTCAGTCATCTAATCATTATGTTTAGACATTCACATTTTGGTGGGACTTACATCGTCCAAAATATGAAAGCCATTGGAGAGAATCAGCTGTTATGTCACAAACCGTATCAAAAGATCGAGGCATTAGATTTTGGCCAAGATAAGGTAATTACTGCTAGTACGAGTACGAAACAGTTCTATCGGGCTTTCCATTTTCTTTCTCTTTTTCTTTTTTTATTTCCAAACGAAGAAAATAAAATGTCGAGTTACGAAACGGTCTATTCAATTAATCTTTGGTTTCCGGCGGTAGTTCTCATTAATGAATAAGTAGGGATGAAGGCTGGGTGGATTTGAATGAAAATACGGTTGTTAATTAAGGCTATCCTCGCGTAATTAGAACTGGCTCCTTGCTTAATGGTGCTGAAGCATTTAAAACTAGGTCAGCGCTCTTTTCGCGGACATTTCTCCTCCTTTTCTCCTGCCTCTTGTGTCCTCCTCGACTATAAAACGATCCCTCTCCCTCTTACATCGTTATTACCGTCTCCTTCGCGGAACATCCGTATTTGAAGACAAACTTTTCCTAGCTTGCTTCTTCTCGTAGCTCGTTTCATTATGGGCTGTCATAAATCTACTGGGTCACATGCCTGACGGCTATCTTGAATCGAGGTGATCAGTAACTTGTGCCATATCTTTCATGGAATTCTATCCGTTCTCTTCTCTCGATTCCTTCTTTGTTCTTTTTTTTTTCACTCTTAAATTTTTGCAGAAACAATGAAAGTCTATCAATCCTTGTTATTCGTCCAGATTACATTTCGTTGATCTCTCGCGATAAATTTTGCAAAAATCTGTTTTCGTTGTTTCTTCTTAAATTTGAATAATAATTTTGATTCGATAGAAAAAAGTGGCAAAACCAAAGAACAAACGTCCGATGACGGATCCAAGGAACGAGCGTACGTCGGCGCTGAGCGTGAGGCTAGTTTTGAAAGAATTTTGCATAGAATTCCTGAATGCCGCTTACAACTCCGTAATGAGATACGCGAGGTCTTCTATAGTTGGCGACGCTCGAAACAATCAATCTGAAGTAACTTGTTATCTGTGGGCCTTGCGTTTCTTCATGGAGTTCAATCGCCATTACAAGTTTGAAGTAAAATACGTGAGGTAAGTCGCTGCAGCTCTCTTATTTCGTAATAGAAAGGAAAAAGAGAAAAAAGAAAAGAAGTATATCGCCAGAGAGTAAACGTCGAGGAAAGGATCAGAGATAGTTTTCGAACTCGTTTTACGCATCGTCGCTCTCTTTAGATTCTTGTCTTCGAGAAGCATTTTCTAGCTATTTTCAGTGCAAGCGCTTTTACGTGCACTGCTTTAAGCAACATGTATTGTTGGGATTTAAATTTTCCTTCCAACAAGTGCTCGTTGAATACTCATTATCATTCGGAGCATGAAGGAATGTTGGCAATTTACGATCACGACCTTCTTTTCTTATTTAAAGCTTGTTCTTCAGAGTTTGACTTGAGATTGATTAATTAATTTAATTTGGAAATTAAAGTACATTTAATTTTTTGATTTTTTTCTTTCGTTTCAAAACTAATGTAATACATTTTTTTTTTTTACATTAATTTGTCGACAGCGAAACGATATCTACGGGAATATTTCATTTAGTGCAAAGGCAGATGGAACATTATTACGACATGATAATTACCGACAAAAAGAAAATTCCCCTTTGGTCTCGTAGATTGCATTTGGCATTGAAAGCATATCAGGTGAGGAGCTGAGCATTAATAATTCTTTCCGTTTGACGAATAGATGATACGAAATATGTTTGTTTTTTCTCCTTTACGTTATTATAGGAACTTCTGTACACTCTACTGGCGATGGATCAAAGTACAGATCGCAGTGTTAGAGAATCCAGCAAGGTTATTAAAAGTAACGTATTTTACGTTCCGGAATATCGAGAAACGATTCTTTCTCAACTCCTCTGTTTCGACGAGCTTAAGATGTCTCGGTTTGTATAAAAAATCTTTTGTAAAACGTGAATTTTTGGACGTTAGAAGAATTTTGATCATTTAGATAAGTTGTTTTTCATTGAATTGTTTTACAAATCTTACAAATTACAATTGTTAATCTTACAAATTGTAATCAATAGATCTTAAAATCTTACAAAGTAAGATCTTAAAATCTTATAAATTACGATTGTAATCAATAATGATGTTTTAATAATAATCTTCAGACTGTAAGATCGAGCAAACTTAATAATTTTCAAATATTTTTCTATCGACGCGAAAACAAGTGTCCGACGTCTTCCGAGAAATTTTAATGAGAAAAAATATCTGTAGCGAAAATTAATGGCGCAATTTGCTCGGGAACTGTTTCGTTGGTCTTGCTGTTTCATACTTCGAGTGTCTGTTTATCGAGTGGACGGGAGTGGAAAATGAAAAAACTGTTTGCTAAAAGTTTTATCTACTGCAGACAGATTGATTCACTTTCGAATCAATCGGCTCGAACAACGAGAGAGCTACCTCTGCTCGTCTACTTCCTCGCTTCTTTTCGACTGTACTTCCTCCTCCTCCTCCTCCTCCTCCTATTGCGTTTCTCCCTTCGCTCTTGTCTGGTCCTCCTCTTTTCTTTTTTCGCGTCTTTGCTGGAATAAACAACTTCTATCGACCTTCCGGCCAGCGAAATGGGAAAAGGCGACGGCCGTTCAACTTTCGCGAGTTTGACGGGTTTTCCAAGGATTTCCACCGCGGCAATGTAAGGGTCGGGGCGCCGTACCGCGATATCGTCGTTACCCTGACGTTCCAGCGACGCTGACGAAAACAAGACTTGACGGGTGCAGCAAACTTCGTTGCTGATGTTACGACTTGCAAACTATACAAACGACAGAACTGTATTAATTTCACGACAAGCACCATTTCATTCGGGGCGACGCCACGACGTTTCGAATAAGAATTTTATCGAACCGTAAATACGGTATAATTGAGAGTCGGACGAACGGATGTAAATTGTATCTTTTTGCATTTTGCACTTCTTAACGTGACGTTTTCTTTTCTTAATTTATCCTCATACGTAAATGTTTTTTTTTTTTAATCTTTTTAGACAATATTTGATCGATCTCACTACGACAGCGCACGTCTTTTTAAAAATGCTGAGCAATTATTGCGGGAGAAATAATCGTGGTATGATAGTCCAAAAGGTGAAGCAAACACGGCAGAAGAGCGCAGGTAGAAAGAGTAAGGACCGAAACGCTTATTTTCTTTCGATCTGCAAGCAAGCAATATGGTTTATGATCTCGAATGTATACAGAAGCTGCGCAGAAAGTACAACCTCCGGCTCGAAGCTTGGAAGAACGTTGGGATGAAATTAGTCCTCAGCTGTCGATTGTAATGCAAGAAGGAACGATACCGCAAGTTGTGCCATTTGACGGAGCATCGGCTGTACCCATAGACGATCAAAAGTATGTTTATGTTGTTTTATTATTGGATTTTAGCGATGTCGGAAAATTGAATTTTTGACGCGAAGAATATTTTGACTGTGTCTTGAACTGGTGGTTTTCTTGATTCCAGAGTCGATGCGATGAAGAAGGTCCAAAAGCTACTACGGTCGAAGGATCTCGAGCAGGCTATCGGACTCATTCGTGCAGCAAGGTAAGTATTTTATTTCTTTCATTTACGCTCTGTGAAAATTATGCGCCAATTTATGCAAAAAAGATGAACACGATCCACGGAGCGGAAAATAGTACTCAGGTTGATGATGGGTCATACGCGGTGAAATTTCTAGCATTTGGCTCACAGTGAAATATTTTTCGGCTTTATTTCGCCTTTCTTCTTTACGCTTCTCTGTTCCTTTTTTCTTCTTTCTCTTCTTCTTTTTTTTCTTTCTTTTTACCGGTTGAGTACAATACGCGTTATAAAGCTACAAGCTGAGTGGCTCCGAGTATCTCCAACATTGTTGCGGTTTACTAAAGCTTTATTTTGGCAAACAAAAGAACTGCAGCGGTGAAACTACGAAGCGAGCGAAAGTCAACGAACATTGAAATGTATTGTGCTTAAGGGAATTCGGTTCAAATCACTTCACGCTCCGTATTTTTCAAATAAACGTTCGCCAATTCTTAACTGAAATCGTAATTTCGCATCAGAAATAGGAGTAATTTTTTAATGAAGATGAGAAAATGTTTCGTGTCAATGATATGGCTCATTAAATTGAACTGTTTATATCAAATTATTCAGAGAGAAAGATAAAAGAGAGAGAGAGAGATCTGTTTCGTGGAAACATTTGATTTTTTCCAGTATCCGTGTTCTTTAGATGCCTGGGCCAATTAATTGGCCAACTGGCAAGTGTTTGCTCTTCCGTTGGTATTTACATTGCATTAAATATGAAAGGGATGGCCCGTTCTTGAAATATACCGATGCATGTTGGTTCATTTGAATGAGCCCTAAGCGGCGACTGAACCCTGTCCCTTTGAAGTGTTCCGCCTCTAAATATACTCACGAGTCTTTTCCCTCCATTAAGTTGTTTCTCCATTCTGTTCCATCGATCCTTCTGGCTGGCAGCCTTAATCGCCGCTTCAACAGTTTCGCGGGAGCAAAATACACTTTGGAGATAAACTCGTTGATGCGAATACGAGATTTTTGCATGCGCTTTGCCTTCAAAGAGTTTCATTATTTCTTTTTTTTTTTTTTTATATATAAAAACCTGTCGATTGTGAATTAATTTTATGCGTCTCACTTTATGCTTGCTAATTGACTTTGTAATACATAGTTGTTGCATTTAATTGAAAAGGGATTCAATTTCTTTTTCTCTTCCCCCTGGTACGAAAATTATACTTCAACCTCTTGCGCTGGAATGACGTGTCACGTTTTCGTCTCAAAATTGCCATATTTTCTGAGTTTCAAGTATATTTAAGTATAATCAGAATTTCCATCCAGCGATATCATACCGACAAGTTCAAAAAGAAGGCGACGAATTATTTTATACGATTTGGTCACTCGTTATGGTCCGCAATCAGTTGCCAAGCGCGAGCGGTTAAGATACGTTTGAAAAAGCGTATCATTTTCATTTCTGGGGAAAACGAGGTTTCCCGCAAGTTGAAGAACTTTCGCCTGTAGTTAACGCAGTGTAGTTCTCACGAGGCACTAAAGTAAAATTACCGAAACAGAGGAAGAAAAAAAAAAAAAAAGAAGAAAAAGAAAAGAAGAAAAAACGCTGCTTCATCGCGAGCAGCCTTTCTTCTAAAGCTAGGGAGTTATAGCCGTTCGTACTTCCTGCAGATTTTTCTCTAGGCAGTATCATCACCACAGTACCTTCCGCCGTAGTACTTTAGGAGATTGTTCGTAATATTCCGTCGTCCATTTTATGGGGTAAGCTTCGCCATAGCCGGTACACAATGGAATCTTCTGGTTCATGCCGACTTTGTGCATACAACAGGATAAAAGGAAGCGGCAGACTATGTTGACTATGCGTACCGTATAGACGGGAGACCCCGAATAGGAGATATTAATAACACATTTATGGTAATCCGGCGGTATTACGGTAAACAGTGTAATGCTTTGAATTTCCTTTTATTCGTGTCTCTACGCGTAACGTACAGGAACAGCCCTGTCCTTGAGGAGCAAGAAGAGAGAGAGAGAGAGAGAGAGAGAGAGAGAGAGAGAGAGAGTTTCCAGCGATCGCGTTCCGTTTACCTAGCAAATACTCCCGTCGTTTAGATACCGTCTCAAATCCTCTAATTTTCTACTTACACCATCTGGCATCGGGTGCCATCCGGCAAAGTGTGCTGACTTTGGTTCAGGCTTGGATAACTCAAAGTCACGGGATAATTAAGGGGAAGAAGCTCGCTCCGGCGTTTCGCCTCTTTTTCCCGTTGAACAAGGAGCGAGACGAATAATCAAGCTAGGTCTTACTCGCGCCCTAAAAGTTACAATTTTCTCTTTAGGTTTAAAGGGCCGGGGATTCTATCGTATTTAATTAAAAGCAAATGAAAAATCGCCAAGCCAGACGTAACGCGAATGTAATTTCCTCCCCTTCGATTGCGTTTCCCCGTTATTTCGTGCCGATATTCGTGAAAAAAAAAAGAAAAAAGAAACATACGCTTTCCGTTCAACAACGCGAACCTCGATTCCAAGCGAGTTTCTCCCAGATTTTGAAACGTAAGGCAAGGCCAATTCATCTCCGACAAGCCGCGCTACTCTGACCTCGGACTAAAAGATGAACTCGGTTCTTCTTTGGATGGTGGCGAGTGTCAAGGGCGAGAATCGGCGAGAGACGCGTCGAAATTATTCGTTGCGTGTCTGGCAAAGGAGCCAGTTCGGACGACGGGATTGGAGGGAGGGAGGGGTCGGTTGAGGCGCGTCTGAGAGATTCCATTGTCGCGGGACTTCAAATCGAGGGATAATGGGGATTGTATGGTACTGGATTTCTATTCAGACAGCCACCAGCAGCGCCGCCACCCCATACGAGCCACTTCTTCTGCCCTGGGGACAGCACGTAACCTCCTTTCGCTCTTCCAACCTCCCTCCCCTTCTGTATCTTCGTCCTTTACCCCCTCTCGTTTATTGGATTCTCTCCCTCCGAGTCCCAGGGATTTTGCACTCTTCAAAATAGCCAGACTTTCCTGACCCCGCGGTCGCTACGTCTGACACGCTTTGTAAACGGATTAGATTCTGTCGCATGTGAAATGAATTTTGCTAGATTCTCGCTAAAGTATGTACGTTTTTGAAAAAACAACGTGCGCAACAGCGTTGACGAACTTGTACAGCTTGTTCCTACATCGATCGGATAGTTATATTCCACGTTCTAGTGTCGTGCAATTCGTGTTACAGTTATACGGCAGAAGGAGAGTACACCCTCTCGAGGGCACTGATTTGAATGAGCTTTCGTTTAATGACAGCACCATTCAGAGGTATTGTTGCGGTAACACGATAAGCTGCGCAACTCTGAAACAGCGTACATATATATATATATATATACATATATACACGTTGGAGTCTAACGTCGACTTCGTTGTCCAATCACGTTTCATCGTCTCTAACGTTCTCTTTGAAGATATCCGCCTTTCAGAATATTTCTGACGTGCGGCAGGCTTTTCCTTTCGTTTTGTTTTTAATGAAAATTCAAGGCAGGCGAGGACTTTCTGAGAAGAAGCTAGCCACCATCTAGCACAGGGTTAGGAATCTTCCGCCATTAACTACACCCTTTTTCACGAGCACTTCGCGAAGGTGAAGGCGTGATTTCAGTTTTGTCCCCTGGTCACGTAGATCGACTTTCTCCTTTCCTTGATGCTTTTGGATTCTCACGGGGAATAGAACTTTCGTAAAACGGCCAGGTTCTCTCTTTCTCTCTCTCTCTGTTTCTCTTTTTCTCTCGCGCTGGTTTTTATGCTTTATGAAGGGCGATTTTCATGCGAAGCAATCAGCGTTTCGCCCTATTTACCGAACGCAGTGTGTAGCTCTGTTTTATGCAGCTCGTCTTCGGATTAATCTCGCCGGGGCTTCACCAGTCCCTTTTATTGTTCGTGTTTAAATATTTAACAGGAAAGCTTGCTTTCGAAATTTCAATTCTCGTTTCTTGCGTTACGTTTTACCGCGCGGCGATATTAATAACTTCAAGTGGATTGCTGCACGGCTTCTTTCATTACACGTTACCGGTGCAGCGCCGCTCGTCCTCGCGAGATCTTAATATTCATGAGAGAGGAAAAAGAAAGACGGTGGAGGAACCTAGTTTATTCTAACTTTTACAAGCTTTCACCGATTCGATCGTACATATATACGTGTACATGTCAATTTTGTGTCGCGTTAGCTGTCGAAACAAGGTGAAAATTACAGAGAGAGAGAGAGAGAGAGTCGCGGTTATTCTTTGCAGCGTTAATTTGCAAGTGAGGGAAATTTTTGCGCGTCGTTTTCTTTCGAGTATCGCATAAATCAAGATTTGCATCGGACGAGAATATCGATGAGGAAGTGTTTTTCTAAGACAAGGCTCGGAGAATAAATTCAATGAAATTTGAGTGGATCGCGAGGCAGCCAAGCCATCGCCTCTCTAAGAATCTTTCTTTTTACCGTTCTTCTTCCTCTTCTTCTTCTTCTTCTTCTTCTTTTTCTTTTTAATCTTCCGCGCCTCGGAGCTGACTTCGCCACCTTCGCTGGATATTTTAGAACACGGCCACTTGGCGAAGGTTATGCATGTACACACACTGACGACGAGAGCATGGCCGAAGGTGGATGGAAGAATGGAAGAGGGTTGGGCGTGAACACTTGACGCAAGCAACCGGATGTTGGCGTAGATCGCGGTGAGGTTCTCGTGCTCAAGGGAGCCTTCTACGAGACCCATTGAGATTGCCACTCGGACCTCTCCGCCTCTACGTCTCTCACCCCCTTACCCTTTCTCAGCTCTTCATCTCGTCTCGTCTTCTCGTGTCTTTGCTACGTATGCTACTCAAGATAATGAAACACGTCATTAAGTGTCTCGCTTGCTTTGTTTAATCACTCTAATCTCATTCTCTGCGACACGCGGTTTCACTTCCTTCGCCGCGTTTGCATAAAAAGTTGAGAAAGAGAGATAGAGAGAGATAGAGGGTAGATCTCTCTGTCGCGGCTGTGTGGAATTAATATTTTTAAAATTTTTCGTATTTGAGATGCTCGTGTTTAAAAATTTGCCTGGATAACCTTCGCAGCGTATTTGGCGATTTAACCGTGTGGATATATTTAAAAAAAAAAACTCTGTTATCGAAAGGTATTACATGTCAGATTTACGTTTGCGTTTTTTTTTCTCTTTTTTCTTTCTTTCTTTTTTTTTAATATTCTATAATATTTCAAATATGACGTTCTTTGCGATACTTTTTTTTGTCCTTTTTCTCTCCTTTTTGCTCAGCGAGGTTCGCACATCAAGCTTCCGTTTCCACCTATATTGCTTTTCATACATTGTACAGGAAAAAAGGAAAAGATCAAAGTTGGCTAAGGGTAACGAGGTGATGTAAATAGCTACCCGTGAATTGATCGAGCTCTCTTAATCCTCTGTAGCGTACCGTGTGACGTGCAAGTTATATATTCATACACCCTTCGTGTATGTGTTTTTTAACCCTCCGTCGACATCGCCGCCACGACCGCGGTCAAATAAGCAACGTGACTGTTTACGATAAAGAATAGAATTCATCACCGATTCCCCGATGCTTTTCATTCCTAACTGCTTGGATAAGCGTAGAAAATTGTTTTCCTTCGCAGAGAGGTCTGGCCTGAGAACGACAGTTTCGGGAGTGCTAATATCACAACGGAGGAGGAGTTTCTGGCGCTACGTGAAATCTTCTTTGCAGACTTGGGCGGTGAGTAAGAATCTTTGCATGCAATGGAACTGTGATGAACTTTTCGCTTGGTTTTACATAACGTAACAGTAGCCTAGCGATTGTATGAATTCGTCGTTTGACAATTAACCTTCCAAGTGCTAACGTCCGATATATCGACACCTATACGATATCTGAGATAGCCGAATGCATTACTGCAAATAAATTATTGCAAAATAACTTTGAAAATATAGAAACTACAATAATTTATACGAAAACGTGTGAAATTAAACTTCGCCTGGCGATTTCAGTCCGTCGAAGGGTGGAAATAGGTTAAATATGTCGTTCTTAGAAGATTAATAGACAGAGATCGACCATTTTTTCAAGAACGAAAGTCGTTCTCTTCAGTTGTTTAGATTTTTGGCACCGTAGCCGCGAATTACACTTAATATAACGCAACAACAATTTTGGCCCCGGTGGTAAATTGATCCTCGAAAAGGCAGCTTTAATCCACGGCTAATACCGCACTGCCTCGGAAGATCGTTTCAAATTAAATTCTGGAAAATATCTCGCGCTAACGAGATTCTCGGAAACGAGACGACATATATTTGCAATCTCCGGTAGGCAGCTTGAGATAAAGTTAAAACTTCGTACTTTGAAAGCCGTGGCCGTTAGTACTTTTTGCGCTCGCGCGGCTCCCCCCCCCCCCCTCTCGGTCTCCTCCCATGGGGGATTGCTTGTATAACTTGAATTTATCGAGAAAATTATATTTTCTGTACGCACAGGCCCGTAGTGAGAAACTTGCGGATGCTACTTTCGGCGGCGCAGCCCATTATAAAGCGGGAAACTCCGTTATTGCGTTCGTGAACGTGAAAGTAATAAGCTGTTCGATTTAATTCAATTCGCGGGGATTTCGCGGCTAAACCGTCGAATTCATTGGATTAAAATTTGTTTTCGTTCTGTGTACGTTCGCTCGCCGTTCGTGAAATTTTGCTGTTTTCGAGCGTGCTTGCAATCTGTCTGCAACCCGTTGCTGTTGCACGCTCGAATCGAGTCGTGTGGTTAACTGTTGCACGCTTTGTTTTTCCACGTCGTTCTTACGTGCATCCACGATTAACGTAGATACTTTTGGGAAAATGAAAATCTCTCGCAGACGAGGCCACGCATCGTCGTGCATTTATTTATGAAATTTCAACGTAGAATCGCCGCGGGCCGGCAATAAAATAAACGCGGCCGATGTACTCAAATATTCATTCCTGTCTTGCTTTGCCTTTTCTTTTCTGTTTTTTCTTTTTCTTCTGTTTTTTTTTTTTTCTTTCTGTTCCCTTCTATCTTTTTCTCCTCTTTAAGCTTTGCTTAAATTTCCGTAAGAATAAATTAACGAGCCGCCCCGGATGGATACCGGCGCTAAGGAGATATTAACAGAGGAAAAACTTATAAACACGTAATTTCACTCAAGGGGGGAGCACCTGCGGGAGCGGTTTGTGTAATAACTGGCACGTACATCACGACACAAATTTAATTAAACACACCCTCGGTATTCATTTCGCGCTTCTAATTTATGTATGAATAACTATGCCGCGTAGCCGCCCGAGATTTCGCGACGTTCCATCTTCCGCTACGTATTTATCTATGTTTATTAACGGAGAAACAATGCCCCGTACACGCCGGCGTTGAACGTTTCAATAGGCGAACGTTATGGCTTTTCATTTCGATTCTCCCTCTTTTGTGCCCTCTCTGTGACGCGTGGTTGTGCCGTGTTCCTTAATGAAAATAAATTGAAAAGCCATAGTCGCGCGAGGGAAATTTCAATTAGCCGCGCCGGTTGCAATGACTCGCGAAACGCGGGATCGTCGAATTTTTGTAAGAGCGTAGTTTTCTGTGCAGCGGTGTCCCGTTAAAAATTGATTCGTCGTCGAAACTTTTTTATTCGCGAGCGAAACGAAGCGAAACTGATTACACCGTTCCGCGTGTTTGTCTAGTTTTGCATTGTGAATTCAACGCACGTTGCTCGCAGTGAGATTGATCGACGTTGATTGCGTAGGCTTTTTCTAGGTAATGTAACGCATGATCAGATTCAGTGGAAAATGTGGCCAAGTAGGACTCTGAAGAAATATTGTACAGGGTTGAAAGAAAAGTTTTCTCGTGGCTATCAATTCTACACACCTTTGATTTAATGGAAATACATGTAAAGAACATGTATTTTGAATTTCAAGGTAAATTTTTCTTTTTTTTTTTTTTTTGTATTTTATCCATCACGAAGATGAAACTCTTCTAAGGAATCATAGATGGCAATCTAATGGTTATCTTGTCTCTTAATCATTTAACAATGCGGACTTGTGTTGTTCTAACAGCGACTTTATGGTTCTGAACGCGTAGATGTCTGTGTAATATTTAATCGATCTAATATTTATGTTTCGAATAATGTAAACAGTTGGTTCATTTGATTATTTAGGCTTACACCGATGCTACAACTATGATAAATTAAATGTTAGTGAATCCTAATACGAAAATTACGTAAAACAGACATCTACAGTTCTAGACGCGTTTCGAACTATAAAGTCGCTGTTAGCACGCGTCCGTTTTTTGTCATTTTTCAAAAGAACTATTAAGTTGCGATCTATGGTTCTTTGGAAAAGTTTTACCTTCGTAGTGAGCAGAATACAATGCAAAAAAAAAAAAAAAAATTCTGACCTTGAAATTCAGAGGTTTTTTACATATATTTCCATCAAATCGAAGATACAGAATTCATTTATGATACATAGTCGTCCGAATGCACGCAGTTAGCAGAAGATTTCAATTCATATTTTATTTTCCTTATTTCTTTTTCATTCGTTGAAAGTAGATCTCGATTTCCAAATAAAATTTTATCCTCGTTTTCGTCGCGTTTTCGTGTTGAATAATCTTTGCTCGATCTTTTTCTCTTGTACTCACGAATATCTTAAGAGGGTTAAGTTAAGGATTATATATTAAAGGAACTGACTGTTTTTGATGCCTCAGAAGCCAAGAAAAAAAGATTTGAATTACAAGATGCGCTTCGTGCAATAGATGAAAAATGAAACGAGTTAGGGTCTTATCGTCTCATAAAAATGGTTTAACATTTTAAATTCACAAATTATGTGTGAAACAGAATATATTTGATTAATATATTCTTTCGTTTTAGATTTTATATAAAAAACAATTGATTATGCCACTTTCATACAGTCAATTATACCGCAGCCATCTAAATTTCATTGGGCAGATCGACTTTCAATTATTGACAATAAGACATGTTTTTGATAAACAGGCGAATACATTTAATTTGCCTAATTTAATCATAGTTAATTTTTTACGCTCGCTTGATTCGACGGTTGTTTCGCTATCCCCGTTTTCGCTTATCCTCTTGAATTTTATGCACACCCGGTACTTGTATTCCGCGACTTGGCCGCTTCCTGATGCGTTTGCATCTGCCGCGTATAATGAAGCGTCTGTTTCGCCTTGATAAAATGTACCGCAAAAATCGGAATATATTTCACGAGATAGACTTGCCCTTTTCTTTTTTTGTTTTTTGTTTTTCCACCAGGACAAATGTTCCACTTACTTCGAGAAAAAAATTAGTCGTCAGGGAAATCTGGATTTATTCGGGAACCAGTACAGCTGCACACCAATGTACAATTTCTCTTTTAATTGTGCTGCCACGTTTTATCATTTTATTACGGACGTACAAACAGAATGGGACTGATACCTTGCGAATTAAAATTCGCTCAGTCGTTTCGGGCGAAATCTTTTCTCCCCACTGCCGGGTCGTAAGGATGAATTAATTCGGAATTATTCATTTCAGAATGAAAATAAATTGTTTAGCCTTGGTCGTGCTTGGTGAACTGTGACGCTTCAGTGATAACAGCGTACGTTTTCTATATGGAAGTAGAACAACGATACGTTCGGTCTTCGCGAAGACAGTTTCCTTTCTTTTTTTTCTCTAAACAACAATCGACGACGAACAGAGTGACTCGATGTCTCGCGAGCGAGTCAAAAGAGCTTTATTTACACACGTATACTTCGCGTAGAGCTTTGAAGAGATTTCGATGTAATCTCCGCCGAATATACTCGGTTTCATCGAGCATGCCGCATACTTCGCGGTGAAGTATCGCGGTACAAGCAAAGGGGATGCACGGCGGCATTCTGCAGTGCAATTTTTCTCTCTCTCTCTCTCTCCTTTCTTCTCGCTACGATTCCAACTCGTTCGACTCGAATACTTGAATACTTGATGGATGTATCAGAACAGCGAAACTATAAGTTTCCCAGCCGGGAGAGGTCGAAGGTTTGACGAATGAGGACCGAATTGAAAGTCTCGTTTGTATCTTGGGCGTGCAACGATGGAATTTGCACGGTGCTAGGAACCATCCCCCGTCGTATGTCCGCCGTTCATCTTGTTTTCATCCTTGCCGGGTTTCCACGGTCCATAACTTAGTGTCTTCCGCGCCGGGTAGTATCTCCTGATCTTTTCATACGTTTTGTTTCACACGGCTGTGTGGTGGCCTGTGTGTGGCGAAAGCGCGTGTAACGTTTCACTGGTTGGTTGGTTGGTTGGATCTCGGGTTCTTTCAGACATGCAAACTGGTACAACAGGATGGTGTCCTCTTCCGCCGGTGTACTAGAATAAGCTCGTTTACGCTTGTTTCTCGTTGCTCCGTCAGGTTTCCACCCCTTCGGAATCACCTTTGCCCGACAGATTTTTTTCTACTGACTGTTCGAATATTCCGAACTTGTGTTCGCCGCGTGCAAACACTCGGTTTTTTTTTAAAAATATTTTTATTTATTTATTTTGTAATGGTATCGTGCATATCCAATTACTCGCGCGATTCAATTCGTTGTGCGACGTTTCATGAATTTATCTAATTTTTTAATCCGTCAGAGTTATCATCGATGGCTGGACGGGAGCACGATTCAAACGCGCGCAGTGAAACGCGAATGTGAATCAACCGAACGGAACATCGATTGTCATTTCATTTTGTTACATTCATTATATTATGTTGCTTGTTTAATTCGTCAATGCTGAATTG